GGGGAGTTAGTTAAAAAATTAAAACTATTGGTGTGTGTTATAGCAGCTGAGTCACATTGGGTGCTAATGGTGAATTTTAACCTCATTCGAGGAAGAATGATCATAAGTGGGGGAGGATTTAAGGCCCCGTAAAATTTTACTTAAAACTCGGGGTTTTGTGATGCCGAAGTAGATTTAAGTGTTGACTAGGCGGTTCAGACTTTTTGGGTTGTTCAGTACGTCGGGGAGTTGAAGGAATCGTGTTGCAGATTATAGCATTTTTGTGGTACACTATGCGATCGCAGAATCACTCTGCGGACCGCAGATCGGCCGCTGAGTGAAGTAGAAACTTGAGCTAAATTTTGAGGACCCTTATGCGGTCCATTATTCGGCCGCAGAACCGTTTTACAGGCCGCAGATCCCATCGCAGAATCAACATTAGAAATTTCGGACGGAGGTTCTGCGGTCCATTATGCGACCGTAGAATTGATCTGCGGACTGCAGACCTGTCGCAAAGTGAAGCAGAAATGCCCAGTTTTGGAGGGCCCTTATGCGGTCCATTTTACGGACCGCAGAATTGTTATGCGGTCGTATATGCGACCGCAGATCTGCGCCGGGGCTTCATTTTTTCTAATTTTTTACCTGACCCCTGTTTCATTTATCTAGCCTAATGGTTAGTTTTTGGGGGATCAGTGGTCATTTTAGAGAGAGGAGAGAACTATTATAGAGAGAGGAAAGGTAGGGTTAAGGATTTCACTACTCTACCTTGATCGAACCTTGGGATTTCATCGAAGGGAACTTGCAAGGGCTTCAAAGAGGTAAGAATTTCTTTCCCCAATTCTTCAATTTCGGGTTTGGGGTTGATTATGAGTGATAAGGGTAGATTTATCACATGCATGAGCGAATAGGGATTGTGGGAAAGTTGTTGAACAATCTTGGGCGATTTTGTTGTTGAATTATTTGAGGGAATAGTTGGGTCATAGTTGTGACAGCCCTTACCATACGAATATCTCTTATCATGCTTGTAATTCTCCCCTCCTCTATAGATTGACATCGTTTGGAGTGTTGGGACATTATTTTGGCACTACGAAAAGCTCTTTCGAGGTATAAAGACTAAACTCTTGTTCTAGTATCGTAATTCCCGAATCCTTGTAAAATTCTATCATGTGTAGTCAAACTTGAAACGCTATTGATGTGGGGTATTCAAACTGGTAGAATTCATTTCCAATTGGCATAACGTGTTAGAACCCTCAGGTATTAATGATTCTTTATTTTTGACTTAATCATGTTAGACCCCTTTGGGAAGAAGACCTTGTATGAAATCAATGTGATTAAATACCTATTTCTCATATGATGAAACTTTATGAATTTACACTTGCTAAGGCCAAAGGTGACAAACAGTTGATTAGAAGGGAACTCTTTTGTACATATTATTATCATTTTGGGAACTCGAGTTGTGGTATTGTGGTTATACCTCCACCCGCATACGTTGGGGTGCGGCAGGGCCGCTTTGTGTAGAGCTGCGGTATTGTGATTTTACCTCCACCCGCATACATTGGGGGTGAGGCGGCGTGACCGCTTTGTATATAGTTTTGGTATTGTGAATACACCTCCACCCGCATACATTGGGTAAGGCGGCGGGGCCGCTTTGTATAGAGTTTCTGGTATTGTGATTGCACCTCCACCCGCATACATTGGGGTGAGGCGGCAATGCCGCTTTATGAAAAGGTAGTTGTAGAGGATTCCCGACTGGAAATTTATAAGTGTTATTGGAAGTCTTAATAAATCTGTTTTGACTTTTATGGCTATCTAAGCCCTATGACTGTTATCATGATTCATCATATTCATGTTGTATTTTCAAGTCCTTGAATAGATATTTTGGTTTTCATAGTAGTACTATTCGATATGTACTAACGTCCATTTTGCCGGGTGTGCTGCATCTTTAATGGATGTAGGTGGTTTCACAGCGGAAGGCATTGACTAATGATAGCGGTACACTCTTTTTCAGTTGACTTGGTGAGCCCCACTTCATTCCGGAGTTGTGCATCTTTTGTTCCGTGTGTATTATGTTTTGAGGTATAGCCGCAGCCTTGTTGCCGGCACTGTCGTAGTACTCTTTTTTTTCTGTTAGAGGATCCGTAGACATAGTGTGGGCTGTATATGAGTGTTAGAAAAGTCAAACTAGCCTTGTTGTACTTGAATCACTTGTTTCACTTTAACTATGATTGTGTATGTATTTTGAGGCTACAAAATGAAATGACTAATGGTAATGGAATTGGCATGGTTCATGGAATCCACTCAAGGTTTTATTAATGAAATGTATCTTTTCTTTATTCATGGGTGAGTTGGGTAGAAGGTATTGTACAGGCTTACTCGACGGGGTATCTCGGTTGAGCGCCGGTCGCGTTCCCCGAGGTTGGGGCATGACATAATATTATAAAATTATTTTTTATTTGGATTGGGTGTTGTTGCAAATGATTGGAAATATCCGTTGGAGTTTATATCTAATTTTGAGACAGTTTGGTGAAGATTCAAAGTGATTTTAGTTGAAATTTCAGATTGAAATTCGAAAAGAAGACATAAACAAATTTTATATAATTTGTATGTCGAGTGTAGAAACGGTATACAAAATATCGATAACTTACATAATTGTATATAAATTGTATGTAAATTGTAGTTTTTAACCGGATACTGTACAAAAAAATATGTATTAAGTTGTAGATAAATTATAGATAAATTGTAGACTTTGACTGGATTTGTATATATTTTGTAAAAAAAACCGTTTGTTACTTTATGTAAATATGAAAACTTAGACAAAATCGGATAAATAAGTTTAAACTCTTATATATATAAAAAAAAAAGTTCCCTAAAAATACTAGTTTCGCTCCAAAACATCTTTCAAAATATTCAAATCATTTAAATCAAAGAAGTATTTATATACACTTCTTCCTTTCTTTATTTTTCCAATGAGAAACAAGTTTCCTCCTCTTAAAATCTAACCCATCATTACAAACTAATATAACAATATGGTCCTATAAAATATGTATATATGTATGGTCCAAACAGTGGCGTGTTTGGCAAAGATCATGGTACAATCAAATCCCTTTCACAAATGTGTTGTTTGTCCTACTATGAATTTTATTTAATAAAAATATTTTGGTTTAAATCATATAAAATAAAATGGATGTAGCGCAATTCAAAATCTTTTACGTTAGATGTGAAAAAATGTTAAGAGTTTCGCGTTCGTATATGCTAGTCAGCAATTTGAATTCATTTAGCAATACTTAATAATTTTCTTGCATTTGAACTGATTTTAACAATTGTTTTTATACTTGTTTTAATTGTTTACCCGTAAAACGGTACAGTTGAATTTCTACGGGGCTGGCCGCGCAGTCCCCGGTCCCGATGATACATCTTTGTTCCCGAATTTCATAGTCCCGGTTTATGTGGCAGTCAGATTGTCGTATTCTCATCTCATTCCCCTTCCCCCTTCCCCAGTGTTCGAATGCGAAGAATGCAAATTTGAACACCGGAAGTCTTGTTCCTTTGATGATTCCACTAGTGAATGGTTGGAGAATCTTTGGTCCGATAGCAAGCTTCATTTCCCATTAGGAACTTTGCTACCGAACCAAAACCCGTTAGGAACTTTGCTATCGAGCCAAATACTATCTAACCATCCTATAAAAGTATGTTGTTTCCATGCCTTGTTGTTTAAAAGTCTTATTTCTATTGATGGTGTTTCCTTCGTAGTATGCTTTCCGTTGTTTCCTCGTTAAAACCCTTGCCAGAAAAACCCAATTGGGATAAAAAGTGGACGAAGGAAAAAAAGGTGCAGCACATACTTTCAGTATAAGCGGTGCCCATCAGCAATAGTACCTTTTGAGGTGTGCCACATTCCAGTTGCTCGGCAATTTTACTCTGTCTTGATCTTCCAATTCGTATGATCCTTTCCCGGTGCCAGTTGAAACCCGGTTGGGGCCTTTCTATGTTTGACCTAGCTTTCCTGCATTGGGCTCTCGGGTGTTTTGAGTCACTTTTCTTAAAACTAAGTCACCTATTTTGAAATAACGGAGATTGGCTCTTCTATTATAGTATCATTCCATTCTTTGTTTCTAGGCCACCATCCTTATATGTGTCAAGTTCCTGCGTTTGTCGAGCAGCTCCAATCTAACCAACAACACTTCATTGTTTGCTTCTTCGCCCGCCCGGAAGTATCTCATGGTGGGTTCTCCCACTTCTACCGGGATCAAGGCCTCTTCTCGCTATACGAGAGAGAAAGGTGTCTCTCTCATGCTTGACTTGGTCGTCGTTTGGTATGCCCATAGCACTCCCGGTAACTCTTCAGGGCCATTTGCCTTTGGCTGCTTCCAATCTCTTTTTGAGATTTTGAATAATCACTTTGTTTATCGATTCCGCTTGGTCGTTTGCGCCCGGGTGATATGGCGAAGATGTGATTCTTTTGATTTTCAAGTCTTCAAGGAATTTTGTGTACCTTTGTGCCTATAAATTGTGGCCCGTTGTCACAGGCTATCTCCTTTGGTATCCTGAACCTGCAAATTATGTTCTCCCATAGGAAATCGACCACTTAACGCTCGCCGATTTTCTGGTAAGAATCTGCTTCACCCCACTTAGAGAAGTAGTCAGTTAAAATCAAAAGAAATCTTACCTTATCTGGAGCCGGCAGCAGCGAACTGACTATTTCCATCTCCCATTTCATGAATGGCCAAGGCAACAATACCGAATGCAATAGTTCTGCTCATTGATGCACCAACGGCATGTGGCATTGATACTTGTTGCATTTATGAACAAATGCCTTAGTGTCTTGTTCCATTCGAGGACAGTAGTATACTGCCATAATTAGCTTTAATACTAATGAGTTTGCACCCAAGTGATTTTCACATATTCCTTCGTGAACTTCTCTTATGACGTAATTGGCCTTGGAGGCTCCTAAACATCAGGCCAACGGGCCTTGGAAAGACTTTCTACACAACTGGCCTCCCCTGAAGCAATAACGAGCTACTTTAGTGTGGAGTGCCCGGGATGCCTTGGGATCTTCGGGTATTTGTCGTGCTTAAGATAGTCGATGATCTTCGGGTATTGGTCGCATTTACTTTATAATAACCGTCCACATCCAATACTAAATGCATGAGCTGTATGACCGTGTCGGAGTCATATCCCTTCATTTTCGTGGACGAGCCCAAGTTGGCCAGTGCGTCTGCTTCTGCGTTTTCTTCCTTCGGGATGTGGGTAATTGACCATTCCCTGAACCGTGCGGGCAGAGTCTGGAATTTCACTACATATTCTTTTATGCGTTCTTTTTTGGAGTCGAAGATCTCGCATACCTGATTTACTACCAGTTGGGAATCGCATTTGATTTCACTGACCTCGGAGTCTAGTCCCCGGGCCAGTTCAATTCCTGCAATCAAAGCTTCATACTCGGCCTCATTGTTAGTCAAGGGAACAGTTCTTATGGCTTGCCTTAAGGTTTCTCCCGAGGGCGTAATTATCACTAACCCGAGCCCGGACCCTTTCATATTGGAAGCTCCATCTGTGAACAAGGTCCAGACTCCCGATGTTGTTTCTGACACCATCACCACCTCTATGGTGGCCAAAGGCAGCAGTCCGGGACTGAAATCGGCCATGAAGCCGGCCAAAACTTGTGACTTGATCTCAGTCCTGGCTTATACTCTATGTCAAATTCACTCATTTTGACTGCCCATTTGGCCAGTCAACCTGAAAGTTCAGGTTTGTGAAGGATATTCCGCAAGGAAAAGATTGTCACCATGGCTATCGGGTAGCATTGAAAATAAGGTCTAAGTTTTCGAGCGGAACCTACGAGAGCTAAGGAAAATTTTTTGAGGTGTGGGTAGCGAGTTTCCGCTCCCGTTAAAATTTTATTAAAATAATAGATAGTAGATTGCGTACCTTCATATTCACGGACTAAAACGGCACTTACCGCTACCTCCGAGACCGCTAAGTAAATCAGTAATTGTTCGCCTTCCTCCAGTTTCGATAGTAACGGAGGGATCGATAAATACCTTTTCAAATCTTTCAAGGCATGCTTGCATTCCGGAGTCCATTCGAAGTTGTTCTTCTTTTTTAGAAGTGAGAAGAAGTGATAACATTTTTTGGAAGACCGGTAAATGAACCTGCTTAAAATGGCCAGTCTTCTCGTTAACCTCTGAACCTCTTTCATATTTGATAGCTGGTCAGGAATGTCCTCGATGGCTTTAATTTTATCGGGATTGGCTTCGATCCCTCTTTGTGACACCAGGAAACCTAAAACCTTACCAGAGCTGACTCTGAATGCACATTTTTCGGGATTAAGCTTCATGTGTTGCTTCCTTAGGATGTCAAAGGTTTCTTGGTGGTGTTTAAGAGGATCACATGAGTTCAAAGACTTCACCAGCATATCATCTATGTAAACTTCCATGGCTTTCCCTATTTGTTTTTCAAAAAATTTATTCACAAACCTCTAATTAGTGGCTCCGGTGTTCATAAGCCCGAAAGGCATTACATTATAGCAATATGTGCCAAAGTTCGTTATGAACGAAGTTTTTTCATGATCCTCCGGGTTCATTTTGATTTGGTTGTACCTGGAATAGGCATCAAGGAAACTCATCAACTCGTGCCCGGTCGTCACATCAATCATTTGATCAATATTTGGCAATGGGAACGAGTCTTTTAGGCACTCCTTATTCAGATCCTTATAATCTACGCACATGCGAAATTTATTATTCTCTTTTGGAACTACTACTATATTAGCTAGCCATTCAGGATACTTTACCTCCCGGATTGAACCAATATCAAGCAATCGAGTTATCGTTTCTTTGACAACCCTATTTCTGACCGCAATAGGGCATTTCTTCTGCCTTACCGGAGGGATGTTGGGATCCAGGCTTAACTTGTGCACGGCCACCTCTAACGGGATATCTGTCATATCCGCATGTGACCATGCAAAAGAGTCAACATTAAATTTAAGAAATTCTATAAATACTGACCTGAGTTCGGGTTTTAGTCCTATCCCCAAGTGGAATTTCCTCTCCAAGAACTTCTCAAACAATGTGACTTGTTCGAGTTCTTCCGTTGTGGATTTGGTTGCGTTCGTTTTTTCTGGTAGCTTGAAATACATTGGTACCTGATAGGATTTCGACGACTCCCCCCCTTTGTTGAATTCGTTTTGCTCGGGAGAAGACGTCGGTTCCTGTAATTATTATGCCGCATGTTCCTTCCCTTTGCTATTGCAAACCGAGATCGCATTCATCTCCATAGTCGTCGGTTGATCTCCTCTTATTTGTTTAATTCCCTCTAGAGTTGGGAATTTCAGAAGTTGATGGTATGTTGATGGCAGGGCCTTCATTCCGTGTAGCCATGGTCTTCCAAGAATAATATTGTAGCTCATATCACCGTATACTACTTCAAATAGGGTCGTCTTCATTACCCCTTGAGCATTCGTGGGTAGCAAAATCTCCACTCGAGTTGTCACACTTGCTACATTGAACCCGACGAGGAGCTTTGTGGCCGGAATGATGCTTCTGGTTAGCTTGGCTTCTTCCAACACTCTCCATTGGATAATATTGGCTAAACTCCCTGGGTCAACCAAAACATGTTTAATTTTAAAATCTAAAACATTAAGAGAAATTACCAGGGCATCATTGTGCGGTAGTAGGAGTCCATCGACGTCCTCTTACGTAAAAGTGATATCATCCTCGACGACTTCCTAGAGTCTTTTACTATGGATCATTGATACCTTTGTCTTTTTGGCGGATGAAAAGGTTACACCATTAATCTCGTTCCCTCCGAAAATCATATTGATCGTTAGATGAGGAGTATCTTCTCCCATCTTCGAGGATTCCGTGTTATCCCGGTTGAGGCCATAGTTATTTTTAGCCCAGCCGCTTAAGAGCTCTCTGAGATGGACGTTTTTCAACAATGTTGTCACCTCCTCGTGCATAAGTTGGCAGTCCCCAGTCCGGCGGCCGTTAGTCCTATGATACTCACACCATAGATTAGGATCCCTCTGACTAGGGTTGGATCTCACCGGTCTCGGGAATTGTGCTTCCTTAATGTTCCTTATCGCTGATACCAGTTCCACTACACTGACATTGAAGTTATAATCGAACAATCTGGAGTAGGCGGAATCCCGGGAGCCCGATACCTCTTTGTCCTGCAACGATCAATTATTCCAGCCATAGTCAACTCTCCTATCGGTAGCAAACCTGTCTGCCGACCGAAAACCTCTGCCGCATCCTTCGGCCCTTTTGTAGGGAAAACAATGACCTTTATAAGACCGTCGATCTACATCGAAATCATCCTTCAACTTTTCCTTATTCTTCTCTTGGTACCGACCCTTGGTCGATGCTTGGAAACCTAGCCGGTCATCCTCTATTCATATCTTTGATTCGTAGCGGTTGTGGATATCTGCCCATATTGTTTCCTGGAACTCGAGAAGACTTTCTTTCAGTTTTCGGGAAGCGTTGGAGCTCCTCGGGTTCAGCCCCTTAGTCAATGCCTCGGTTGCCCATTCATTTGGCAGGACCGGTAGCAGCATCCTTTCCTTCTGAAATCTGGTCACGAACTCTCGCAGGAGTTAGGACTCTCCTTGCGCAATTCTGAATATGTCAGCCTTTCGGGCCTGCACCTTCCTGGCCCCATCATAGACCTGAATAAAAGAGTCTGCGAGTATCTCAAATAAATTTATTGAGTGCTCGGGTAAAAGTGAATACCATGTCAGGACCCCCTTCGTAAGGGTGTCCCCGAACTTCTTCAGTAAGACTAACTCAATCTCGTACAGAGCTAAGTCGTTTCTTTCACCGTCGTTTTGTAGGTGGTGATGTGCTCTTAAGGATCCGAAGTCCCATCATATTTTAGTATGTCTGGAATTTTGAACCGCTTCGGGATTAACTCCTGTGTCGCGCTTGGTTTGAACGGCAACTGGGTGTATTTCTTTGAGTCCGGTCCTTTCAACACCGGCGGTGCGCCCGCAATTTGATCCATTCAGGTGTTTATTTCTCTCATAAACTGCATGAGTTTGGTCTTAAAGGGATCATTCCCACTATTGTTACCAGATCCGCTACCGTTTCCCCCGACCCTGTCGAAGCCGACCTCACCCCTAAGGGTGTTGTTATTAACCCTTTGTGCTATTTATTTTGCGGGAGCACCGGGAGGAACTGGACCTCTTCCATTCGCGTTGTTGGAAGCACCCGACAACGCTTGCCTCAACTCTGTCATGGCATGATCTTGTCACGAGAGATGGCCCATAATAGCCTTTGTTGTTCCCTCAGGATTCTCACTGTTTCCCCAACGTGCTCGTCTTCAGCATCATCAGGAGTTGCCTCCCGAACGTGTCGTGGATATTGCTCGCCATGGACCGGCGTGACTACATCCTCCTTGTTGCGGGTATCATTGATCGAATCTTCATGTTGAGGTTGATTTCCTTGGGCCTCTACGTTGTGAGTGATGTTGACATCGTTATCTGCCATTTTTATGATTTTTCGCTAAGAAACAAAGAATGAAACAGATTAGTAATAGATGTAAGGATCAACTCAATTATGCAACTGTCTAAGCCCCATAGTGGGCGCCAAACTGTTTACCTGTAAAATGATACAACCGAATTTGTAACGTGGTTTATAGACAAGCAAATCGATTTGATCTCAAAATGATAAATAAATTAAATAAAATATAAGACTTAGCGTTGAAATCGAGATAAAACAACAAATAGCTTGGTTCCAGGAGCAAAGCTTTCAAAGGCAGTAATACAAATATCAATAGACAAGAAATAAAGTATTATTGAGCTTTTGAATAGTTTATAGCATAAGTTTGTCAGAAAATCAGTGTCCCTTACAATGCCTATTGAAGTCATTATTTATAGTTGCACCTAGGGAACAAGGTCAAAGAATCAAGCCCTTCTTAAATGACAATTATGGGGGCCATTGATGAATGTGTAATGACAGACTATGAATGCCAAAATTATTAAGGTTCCATGGCCCTTTTATGGAGAATTCCATCATCGCACAACCCAATCTTTATCATTTTTAGCTCAACAATCTTCCTACACCCTTTGATAACACATGCATGTAAAATAAACAACTCTCATGCCCAAAAATTATCTTGCTAGTTACCCATTTTCAGAAAATTTTGAAATTAGGGTTTAGGGTATAGAATCTTACCTCTAGGATGAAGACCTAGTGAGCTTCCCTTCTTAATCTTTCAAAACTTGAGCAAGAATTGAAGAAAAATTATTAGAGAGCACCTTCTCACTCTAGGGCACTCTCTCTCACTCTAAAATATCAGATTATGTCTCAAAAATGGCCCAAAGAATGTATTTAACGAAATAGGGTCGGGTTTTAAAAACCCAAAAATGAAGCTCCGGAACAAGGTATGCGATCGCATAATCGATATGCGGACCGCATATCAGTCGCATAGTTGGTTACAAAATAGCCAAAAGAATTGTCTGTGTATGCGGTCACTATGCGGTCGCATAGTCGACCGCATAATTGTTTCTAATTGGCCCAATTAACTGCCTCACTCTGCGGCCATTATGCGGTCCGCAGAGTGATTCTGCGGTCGCATAATGGACCGCAAAAATGCACTTTTCCGCCAAAAAATTTCCTTTACTTTCCGGTGCATTGTTCAACCCAAA